CGAGTTGGATCAGGACCTCCCCATCCGAGATGTCCTTCCAGATGTAGTCAAAGACCCCAAACAGCGGCCTGCGAAACTGCAGCGTGTGCACCTCTTGTCCCAGCAACACTTGCAGTCCTTTTCGGGGCACTTTGTCTTGTCTCAGCAGCCAAAAACTCAGCGACAGGCATCTAGCGCTCTCTTCATCGCTCCTTGGAGGGTTCCTCGCCACAGCTCCCAGCTTTTCAGCCCTCCGTGCTCTCTGCAAGCTCTTTTCCTTGGAGTAAGGCACTCCCCCATGAGCATAAGCTTGCCTCAACGCATCCTGCCCCTCTGAGCTCTTTGCTTCCAGGTCCTCTGCCACACGAGCCTCCATGATCTCGTAAAGGCTGGTGTCATCCAAATAATACAAGGACCATAACTTCTCTTCCTCCTCCAGGTTCGGAAAAACGCTATCTCCCCGTATCTCACCCTTTCCCAGGAGACCTCCTCCGCCTTGCAAAGGTGATCGAAGAGCCAATCTCCGGTGGGAATGTTGCAGCACTCCTACTGCCTAAGCCCACCCCATCGGGAGCACTGCTGCACCTATATAGGTGTCTCCCTCTCGCTCTACACCTAGGCTGCGCCAGCTCACTTTCTCTGCAAACGTCATCATCTCAGGCCATCCTGGTGGGAGAGCAAACAAGTAGAAAGCCGACACTAGATCATCCGCACTCAACCACACTATACCTTGCCGGCTGGGAGAACCACATGTTGCAGCGCCGGGGCCCCCGTCAAGCTTCTGACATCTCCTTCGAGTACTCGGGTCGCTGCATTCGTTCCTCGAAAGTCCATGATCAATCTCAGGATTGGACGTTCATCATCAAGGTACTTTCCGGGCTTTGCAACTCCAAAGCTGCCGTTTACGAGGAACCTACCTCTGACCAACACTGGCGCTCGACAGTCTTCACCGGGCCCCGTTTGTACATCTCCCCTGCGATCTTCTCCCATTCTTCCCGGCAGGCATGAATCTGGGGCCTTGGTATCTCCAGAGACATCTCCTCCTCCGGCAATAAGTTGCTCAGGGGATTCAGCAGCTTCTCCTTCAGGTGGTAAGCCTGGTAGAACCAGATCCAAAGTCAATCGCTGCCCTTTCTCCACTATCTCACCTTGGTATGAAATCCTGACATCACCAACTTCTCGCCCCCACTCTCCCATCTCTGGGGAACAGGGCACCTTCGACTTAGTCTCACAGCTATCATCAACGGAAGCCTTCAAAATCTCCCATATTCGATCCAAAGCCCTTGCTTGACTGACACTAGTGGTTCCCTGGTAAACCTTGGCCTGTTTTCCCCCTCCTGTCCACAGAAAATTCAGTAGAACCACAGTCAAGCAATGCCAGATGAGCAGACCTGCTCGCCGTGCATGTCGAAAGGCCTTCTTGTCTGCGCCTCCAAACTTCCGAAAGTCCCCAGACTCGAAGAGGCTTCTGAGTTGTTCCTTCCCATCGGTCCAAAGCGGCAGCGGAAGAACCTCCCGTTGTCTTCCCCTATTGCCGTCGTCAGACCCCGGCTTGATGGACCGTTTGAGATACTCGCCCAAGTTCGTGCCACTTCGCATGCACACCAACGCCAAAAGTCCTCCTGTTTGTGAAATGCTCAAACCTCCACGTTCTTCATCCTTTAGACATCGCTGCAATATTGCCAAACTCTCTTCACCTCCAGCTCCAAGCTCTACACTTTTCAAGCTCTCCCTGTCTCCTTCACTCTCATCGGGGTTGGACTCCGCTGGAAAGGCTTTCGGGGTGACCAGGCATCTATAAAGCTCACAATGCCTTCCAAAGCACGCTTCTTGGAGTACTCCATGTCATGCATCATCAACGCATTGACCAACCT